AACAGTGGCTAAACCTTAGAGAACATATGTCTCCCTCTCCCAGCAGCTAACAAATGTCAATAGCTCCATGACTAGGGGTAGGATTTTGTGTTAAACTTCTCTCTCCTTACTGAGATTTGGTCTAATTGGGGCTTGTTCAGATTTTTATAGCTGTTGCAACTTGTGTGAGTTTATGTGTGCAGCCGCCCTCCTGGATCTAGAAAGTAATCTTTAGTCATCCCCCACCTCTGTCTGTTACACTCTTTCCAAACCTTTTCTAAGTAGATCTCTGAGTCTTGGGAGAGATGTGAGATATAGATGGTCCCTTCAGAGCAGACCACTCTGCTGGTTCAGATTCTCTGCTCTCTGGCTAGTTGTGGGTCTCTATATTAACTGCCATCTGTTTTTCTGATGAGGGTTGAACAATGCATTGATCTATGGGTATAATGATATCATTAAGAGTCTATTTAATAGCTGGTTTATTTAAGTAGGGTAATAGTAGTAGATTTCCCTCTAGAACCTATGACCTGTCTAGTCACAGGTTCTTAGCCTGATAATAGTACCAGATATAGGTTACATTTTGTAAATGGAATTTAAGTCCAATCAGAGAATGTTTGCTTACTCCCAAGATGTTTGTGATTCTAAAGCACTGTGGACTTGTCTTATCTTTTATTTTGTTAAAAAAAAAAAATCAAACCACCTCTTTATATTGTCTTTATAAAACAGATGAAGAAGACTCATATCTTTTCAGGGTGCTGGGCAGGTATTGAACATTTCTGAAACAAATTATTAAGTGCTATTGAAATTAACATCAATTTTAATAATAGGTTCTTATCGTAAGTGTTCTTCTGATGTTTAATTTTCTTTGACTAAGCAAAAATATTCACAGCAATATGGAGAAATTTGGCTCCCCTTAGCTGTCACTTATGACAGCTCTTGGACTCTTCCCTGGTTTACTGCTTCCACAAACAGACACCTGTCAGTCAAATAGCCAGCCAGCTAATCAATGTGCTAAATGTAGAGTAGGGAGTAAGTGCAGGGTGGAGATAGACAGAGATGTTTTCTGGAATTTATCATTCTTATAAAACAGAACAAAATGAAAAACACGTATCAAAAACTGTTTATAGTTTTTATTACATTACACTATTTCTGCCTTGTTCAGACATAAGTCACTGATTATGAAGCATACAACAAATATAAATTTTAAACACATGGTTTTCCTTCTTAGTCATATGTATTCAGATAGTTCACTTATTTGTTTATTTTTATATGAATATGTGCATTCTTGGGTGAGTTTATGTACACTATGTAGTATCTGCAGAAAACAGAAGAGGCAGTATGATTTCCTGTACTGGAGATTATAGACAGTTAGGAGCTACTGGATGTGGGTCCTGAGAACTGAACCCAAATCTTTGGCAAGATTAGACATGCCCTTTCTGAAAATATTAATAATTTTAAAGTATATTTTGTGAAATGAAGGCTAATGGACAGGGAGCATGCACATGTCCCTGATAATCCCTTAAAGATGGCTTGTGTCCATGGAAACCATAACATGCAGCACATAGGAAAGGAGACAAAAGAAGGAAAGAGAAGAGAAAATGAGCATAAAAATTGGCAACCCTGCAGAAGACATGGAGGAAGGATTGTAGAACTCAGTGACGTCAAGGATACCATAAGAAAGCCCACAGGACTAAATAACATGAGCTCATAAGGGTTCACAGAGACTGAACCAACAACCAGGGATCCTGCATGGGACAGACCTAGGCCCTCTGCATATACTGCAGTTGTGTAGTTTGGTCTTAGTGTAGAACTCCTAGCTGTGGGAGCAGGGAATAGCTCTGACTCTGTTGCCTGATTTGGGAACCCATTCCTCCTGCCTGATTGCCTCATCCAACTTTAGTGAAGGAGAAGGTGCCTGGTCTCACTGTAGCTTGATACACCATGACTGGTTGATATCCATGAAATCTTTATCTAAAGAGAAACAATAGAGGAAGAGTGGATAAAGACAGGGGGAGGACTGGGAAGAGGGGCAAGAGGGGAAGTTTTGGTTAGGATGTAAATATGGGGAAAAAATGCAGAAATGTTGCTCAATATTTTCAGCCTAAATCCCCATCATGGTAAACCTCTCTTATTCCTTTTTTTTTTTTATTTTCAACACTTCCTTATTATTTTCCTAAAAAGTTGAAACCATGGATCAAATCCTTCGAGCAAGTCCTCTGAGTTTTAGATTTGAGTATATCCCAATCTATACTCAACCACATCCAGACCCGAAATAATCACACAGAAACTCTATTAATTAAAACACTGCCTGGCTAATAGCTTATGCATATTTCTAGCTAACTGTTATCTCTTAAATTAACCCATTTCTATTATTCTGTGTATCACTACAAGGTTGTGGCTCACCTGGTAAAGTTCCATCTGTTGTCTGTTTCCTTTGGCAGCTACATGGTGTCTCTCTGACTCTGCCTTTTTTCTCCCAGGATTCAATTTAGTTTTTCTTCCTAGCTCTATTCTGCCCTGCCACAGGCCAAAGTAGCTTCTTTATTAACTAATGATAATAAAATATATTCACAGAATACAGATGGGAGTCCCACATCACACATTCTCAAGAAGATATACATTGCATAGATACTCATTATTCAATTAAAAACTATTCATGGAATATTTTAATGTTATATCTAATCTTAAAACAATTTAGTCCCATAAAATATTTATCAATAGGGGGCTGGAGAGATGGCTCAGAGGTTAAAAGCACTAGCTGCTCTTCCTGAGGTCCTGAGTTCAATTCCCAGCACCCACATGGTGGCTCAGAGTCATATGTAATGAGATCTGGTGCCTTCCTCTGGCATGCAGGTGTACATGCAAGCAGAACACTGTATATATAATAAATCTTTAGAAAAAAATATTTATCAATATACAGTTTTTCCTACAACAAATTATATGGAAAAAACACGGTGAGAGATAACAAAATTAACTAACTTCTAGTTTTTACATGTTTCATATTTATTTACTCATGAAATAACACCCAACTTATTCTACATATGTTTATATAGTATATTACTTATTGTTCTGTTGCTGTGATAAAACTCCATGACCAATGGCATCTTAAAAGAAAGTTTATTTTGGTATATGGTTCCAGATGAACAAGAGTCCATGTTGGACAATTGAAGGCATGGCACCAAACAGCAAGCATAACATCAAGAGTAGGAAGCTGAATGCTCATATCTTCACAGGCATGAAACAGAGAGAGAAACCTGGAAGTAGGCACGGATTCTTAATCTTAAAGTCTGCCCACAGTAGTATACTTCCTCCAGCAAGGCTGCATCACCTAAGTCAGCAGCAGCAGCAACAGGGGCCACATGTTCAAACCACTACACACAGGTAAGAAAGATCACTGGTGATTGATAAGCTATTTTTGTTCACTCCAAAACTAGGCTCTGTGCTCTGGTTGAGATGCCTAAGGTCTACATTTTTTCTTTGCTAGTGAGCAATCTGTTTATCTCCGCCATGAAGAGGCCTTGAAGGCAGCCTGGAAGAGCAATCTGAAAAGGGATTGATGTTACCATTCATATCTTTCTTTTGTAGTATCACTCAAACCCCTAACTTTTCATTAGCAACAATAGCTGATTTTTCAATTTCTTCGTTGTAGTCATCCTCCTCACACCAGCACACCACACGCTTCCACAGAGTCTGGAGTGCAGGCTTCAGACACCCAGAGTTCCTAACACTGTTGCTGACCTCTAACTATGGTACACATCCTACATGGCAGAAGCAAGAGTCATTCCCACTGAATTTGTTTATATCAACCACATTCTTCCAGTGTACTGCTTTACATAAATAAAATTAAGAGTGACTGAATGTGAACTGTATTCAGTTTCATTAATGTTGGACACGTAAAGTAATTCAAAAGAAAAGAGGAAGCTGTATTCATCTAACTAGGGAAAATGTTTTCTGAAATGTTTGTTCATATGTACAATAACTGATGAAATGAGAAAATTAATTTTCCTTTGTGAGTGGTTATCAATTAGAGATAGTTTCTGGCTTAGGGATGGAGGCTGGTTTTATTTCCCCTCTCAGACCTGTGTAGGCCCCATGCATGCTGAATGCACATATTTTTATTTTATGTTTATGGATATTTTGCATGCATATATGACTGTGTGCCATGTGCATGCAGTGTCTTCAGATGTCAGAAGCAGGCATCATATTCCCTGGAACTGAACTTACAGCTGTGAACCACCATGTGATTTCTGGGAATCAAACCCAGGTCTTCTGGAAGAGCAGCCCGTACTCTTAACTGCTGAACCATCCTTCCTGCCCTTTGACTGTGGAATTTTAAGCAGCATCTGGTGGCACAAGGGCACTCACCACCACTGACTGCTATTACTCTATTCACATAAATCTTTCTGCCTGAGCACAGAATTCTGGGGAACCACAGTAACTGGGCACTCAAGAAAACTCAGAATGAAAGAAAAAAAATGGAAGCAAGGAAAGAAGACAGACCAAGACCAGGACAGAGAATAAAGAACAGACAAGAGTTAATTTCCACTTCCCTTCAAAAGTTACTGCAATTTTTTTCCTCACTCAATTCTTTCCTCATTTATCAACTTCTCATTTTCTTTCTCCCTGAAGAGGTACACAGCAGGTCCCCTCAGAGGAGGACATGGAGTCTTTCCTCCTGAGCATTGCAGAATGAATCAATAAATAACCTCACTTAATGAGTCATGTGACCAAAGCAGAGCAGAATACAGGCTGAGCGGAAGACATTCAGAGAATTCCGAAAACTTTAAAAGGGGCAGACAATTCAACAAGAATAACCCTGAGTCTCCTCACTCTCTCAAGCCACACCCATCTGAATTTGCAAGGACACCCACCTTCCACTCCAGCAAAGCTTCAAACACAGGTACACACCTGCTCAATTCGCTGTACCTCTTCTTTCTCTCTCAACAACTCTGCATTTATGTAATACATCTCAGAGCGGCTGTGAGCCCACACAGGACTGCAGGGATCAACACTCTACCAAAATGGATGCCCCCTGCACAGGTATGTTTCTAAAATCAGATTCCAAAACAAAACTGTATTTGATTTAAAGAAAGAAAGAAAAACCTCTCAGAGTTACAGCACTTGTGGTGTCTGAGTTTGACTAAACTGCGTTTGTCTAAGCAAGATCTCAAAAACTCAGAGTGATTCTTAAACAGCTGGGGCACATTTGGAAGAGGCCCCAGCTGTGAAACCAAGTGAGACGCTAACTCAATATGCCTTCATACTGTGTTTGTACTCTGTCCCCATCCTCTCAGCCACAGATGCTGACAGAGTAGCAGATTTCTCACAACAATAGTTGGAAATCCTGCACAGGTATAATGCTGAGCCAAAAAGAGGGGGAGGGAGTGTGTAGTGATTCCAGCTTGCCAGATTCTACCACGACAGACCAGTACCAGAGTAAGCCAAAACCACCCAGTGTTATCCCTGGAAATCTCAATGCAAGTAGGAAGAGGGTCCAAAGTTCAGACACGGAGTAAAGTTCAGACATTAGGAAGCAACAAGGAATAAAATGGTTTCCTTGGAAGTGATAGAAAATTAAATATTGACATTGGGTGAAAAGTCCCAACTCAGAATCTGGATATATAAAACCAAGTTTAAGTCCTACAAGAAACATTGAGTCCACATCAAATAGGCGAGAATTTAAAGACGGCTAAGCAGCATAATAGTGACAGAAGTGCCCTGGAATATTAACTGAAATAAGAAAAAATATATAGAAGGGGAAATAAAGAAAACTGAAAATGATGTGGGTGGGGATATGGGTGAGGAAAACGAAGAAAAATCCATCTAAGGGAACAGGCTAAAAGACTCTAGATAATACACAAGACTTTTCACAACATGAGTCAGGAAGTATTCATTTAGGAACATAAACACATATCTTGTGCTGACTATAAGAGTAGCATTGATGAATAATAGAGGTAATATCAGAGGCTTCAAGGGATTCTTGAGCAAGTGACAAACTATTTTCTCAACCTACGAATGTGTGAATGACCCTGATACATAATATTGCAGGGCAGGCATGCCGTCACCCCTTGGATAGAGCCCTTCATGTGCCAAGACGGACGTCAACCTCCAATGTAAGTGACAGTCTCCCAGTCACTTTCTTCCTGACTGGGATCCCAGGGCTGGAGTTTGCCCACCCCTGGATTGCCATCCCTTTCTGTGTCATGTATCTGGTAGCACTGCTTGGTAATGCTGCCCTCATCTTTGTCATTGGGACAGAGAGTGCGCTTCATGCACCCATGTACCTCTTCCTCTGCCTTCTCTCACTCACTGACCTCGCTCTCAGCTCTACCACTGTACCTAAAATGCTGGCCATTCTGTGGCTCCATGCTAATGAGATTTCCTTTGGCGGATGCCTAACCCAGATGTTTTGTGTCCACGCCATCTATGCTCTAGAGTCCTCAGTTCTCCTTGCCATGTCCTTTGATCGATATGTGGCTATCTGTAACCCTCTAAGATATACAACCATTCTCAATCATACTGTCATAGGCCAAATTGTCTTTGCTGGGATAGTCCGCAGTGTAGTTATTGTGTCCCCCTTTATCTTTTTGCTGAAGCGACTGCCCTACTGTGGTCACCATGTCATGGCTCACACATACTGTGAACATATGGGTGTTGCTAGGCTTGCCTGTGCCAACATCACTGTCAACATTGTCTACGGGCTGACTGTGGCTCTGCTGGCCATGGGCCTGGACTCAGTTCTCATTGCCGTCTCCTATGGTTTCATCCTCCGGGCTGTCTTTCGTCTTCCATCCCGTGATGCTCAACGCAAGGCTCTGAGTACCTGTGGCTCTCACTTTGGTGTCATTCTGGTTTTCTATATACCTGCCTTCTTCTCCTTCCTCACCCACCGCTTTGGTCACAACCAAGTTCCCAAGCATGTACACATCTTCCTGGCTAACCTCTATGTGCTGGTGCCTCCCGTGCTCAATCCCATTATCTACGGAGCAAGAACCAAGGAGATCCGGAGTCGATTTGTAAGACTGCTTCATTTGGGAAAGGACTTGGTATGAAGTGTAAGCAGAGGTTGGAAACAAAAATAAAATATTCTGGGTATTATATTATCAAATCTCTGGAAGGAAGAGGATTGACCAGATGAAGTGGAGACTTAATGCTTTTATTAAACAGATCATTTTTTTTCACTGGGGTTTTGAAGGAATTCTGAATTTGTCCAGAAGAATGATATTTTCACTCTTCTCTCAAAAGTAATGTCCTGGCTAGCTTTATGTCAACTTGACAGAAGTTATACGAAAGGCAGGAACCTCAGTTAAGGAAATACCTCCACAAGATCCAGCTTTTCTTCATCTGTGACTGATGGGGGAGACACAAGACCATCGTGGGCGGTGCCACTTCTGGGCTGATGGTCCTGGGTTAGCAAGCTAGGGGAATCAAGCCAGTATGTGCACCCCTTCCCTTCACGGCCTCTCCATTAGTTCCTGCCTGGCCAGAGTTCCTGCCCTTGCTGCTGTTGATAATGGACTGTTATATGGAACTGTGGGTGAAATAAACCCTTTCCTCCCTGAGTGGCTTTAGCCTTGGTGTCTCATCACAGAAATAGTAACCCTACCTAAGAAAAGTGGCTACTGCTTACTAAAGAAGGCAGCTGCCAGCCTTATGAAAAGACTGGGGTTTGTGAAAGGGACACTCTCCTGTGAGTTCAAGTAGAAAATAAAAACGAGTTTAGAATGAATTTGAATCTGAGTTCTGCCATGTTACCCCTTCAGAGAGCAGTCACAGTCCAAAGTGTCCAATCAGAGTGCCTGAACTTAAACTTTTCTACTCACTGATTGTGTAGTTGTGGACAGGACACTCAGTGCCTATGTGTCTTAGCTTGGTCAGTTATTAAATGGAGGTATTAGCATCTAACTCATATTAGGGCATTAAATGTATATGTCAATAAGTGTAGGAAATGTTTTAGGGTATTGCTTGTAAAGGTTCAATAAGCAGATAAAATTAAGAAGTTTTGCTGTTTCTCTAAACATTAGTAGGAACTTCTTTACCTCTTTTTTAACATTATTGTATTCCACAGAGTTATTGTGGTAAGTACATTATAGAACAAATATGTAATATGTAAATGGTGTTTAAGGTGTAATTGAAGCCTAATGAAACTGAATATCCTCCCATTGTTCCTGCAGTCTTCTAGTTTGAGATCTAGTTCATTTCAGTCCTAAAGTTGCCCCTTATTAACATTCCAGGGAACTGAGTCAGACTCGATCAGTTATCTCAGTTCTAAAACTTACAGGTTCACCTACACTGTTCAAACAAGATGACAGCTAATATTTGCACTTAAAATAAGATGATGTAATTCAGGAAAACACCTAAGGTTACACAATGACGTAGACAGTATCCTGTTTATTATCTAGTCTTTTGTGATAAAAAAAAAATAATATAAGCTCTGGAACCTGGTGACTGGAAGCTTAAATCTCAGCTGCTTGATCTTCTTGCTGCATGATTCAGGACATCTCATTTAACCAGCCCCACCTCAGTAAATGCTTATTGTGGTATCTTGTGTTGTTATTTCGGGCATAAGCTAGCCAAGCGGCCGGGGTGTTGGGGACGCAGCCCCGCCGCTCCTTATTTCAACAGATAGCGCCCAGACCTGTGGACAACTGAATCCACAGAAAGCCTGAAAAAGCTTGGGAAAGAGTAAAGCATGTTTTCTTGGAAGCAGCAGTTTCTCGGGTCTCCTCTGCTTGTTAGAAGCAAGCAAGCACTCTCATCTAAGAGAGGCTTCCTGACTCAGCTTCAGCTGCAAAACCCTGCAGCTCATTAAGAGGTCCTGCCAC